AGCATATACAAGAAGAATTCACATAGCTGACAATATCCATAATCCTCTGATCTCCTCAAAGCTTCATAGTTCTCTTTAGGCTCTCCTTTGCATTTCCTCACTTGATCTTCACAACAACTCATGAGGCATGAAGAACAAGGATTATTTTCTCCGTTTGATAGTTAGGGAAGGCCCATGGAGGAGAAGGGTCACTCCAGCTCACATGACTGGAGGGCAGAGCCAGGACTGGAACCCAGGACTCCAGAGTCCTAGGTCAGCTGAGTCCTCCCACACACACCCAGATTCTTCCCTTGACCAGCACCAGACCCAACAGTCCCTGCAATGGGCTCAAAATGGAAGTAGTGGAAGGCCCTCTCCTGCTCATCTCTTCCCACAGGCCTCCAGTGGTTGCTTGGCAACCAGCACCAAGCAGTAAATGGCCTCTAGTCAGGTCTGTTGCTGTGGAGTTACCTAATCTCTCTCCCTTCACACCTGTGCATGCTCTCACTCTCTATTAATGAGACTTCCCCTACCCCCACCTCCCCAGTAAGATTCTCATCTCTGATCCACAATAATTAACCTCTCATGAAACAGAGGGGGCACTTAGGGACCTATGTATTCAGGGACCCCAGGGAACAAAGCACTACCAATACCTTCATCATCCAACATCCTCCAGAGATGATAGAAACTCTTTTTGCGAATGGTCCTGCTCAGCAATGCTCATAACCTCCTCTTCCTCCCTCTCCACCTTCCACCCTGACAATGGCTTTCTGAAATCCCCTGAGAGATCAAATTGACCAGAGAAATTTAACTGAACATTTCAGACAGTGCTAGTGATGTTCCAGCACTCCTGGAACCATGGGTGGAAAATCTGGCAAGGAACCCAGTCACACTTTGCATTTAGATCAGGAACAGAGAGAAAAAGGAACCTAACATTTATTGTGTTCCTAATATGTGCTAGGCACAATACTATGTTATCGCATGTAGCACCCCCCGTCAACAAACCTGTGAGCCTTTTACAGTTGAGGATATTATCTATTCATAGAAATAGAGTGACTTACCAAAGCTCACATAATTAAAAAAAAATCACAGAACTTTTGTTTACAGAAGTAAATATATGTAGGCAGATATATATAAGCAGATATGTGTTCCTCCTTCTTCCTAAACAATTAATTGATCATCGAATTCTGTAAATTCTAGTCCTAAATCTCTCTCCTCATTTCCATCCCTTTGGTCACTTTGTCGCTGTCATGATATTATGTTCCAAATGTCTGCATTCTCCTAAAATTCATAGGTTGGAGTCCTAACCCCCCAGTGTGGCTATATTTGGAGATGAGGATTCTAAGTTAGTGATTAAGGTTAATTGAGACCATAAGCGGGGGGGGGGGGGGGGGGGGGGGGGGGGT